ATTGTATTGAAGCAATATTTTTCAACATCCAGAAAATTTTCTATTTGATAAAAACTCTGCATAATTCAAAATACAAGGTGAAAAAATTCTAGAAAATACTCAAAATGTGCAAAAACATCATTTCTACAACATACCAAAAGTTACGCGGTAAAAGTTTTACCGGTGCAAAATTATACCCATTTTTTCGCTAACGAAAACAAAAGTTTAAACAAAAAATTTGTCAAAAATCACATTTATGAAAATTGAGGAAGGCATAATGTGCCTTACATCGAGTCGATCAACTTTCCTAACTGCGACGACGGATGAAAATGAACCAAAAACGTCCAAAACGTGAATTTCCTCTTCTTTCCTTTGTTTCTCTCTTTCCTGCCCTTCTCTCTCTTCAAAAATATCTCTATTCAGATATTTATCAAACTCGATCGTCCAGACGATATGCCCCAATCGTCCCGGGATGATCACCTATGGACTCCAATCATTTAGATGAAAATTGCTTACATCCCTGGACGATCGTCTCTGGACACCAATCGTACGAACGATAATTAACTCCGTCCTGGGACGAAGGTCTCTGTCACCAAGCTTTCAACTATTCGTCCCGGACTCCCTTCGTCCGGAGAAACTTGGAAGAAAAACTTAACATGGAAGAAAACTGGCTTTCACATCTTCAATAGACAAAGGGCCTTAATTATAGATAATTGCTATACATGAGCCATTTTTATTAAGGCAAGTGATCCTCAAGAGGGTGGTCTTGTTTGGGTAAGCATTTTAGAGGAGCTTGCTGAGGATAATTACACCAATGATATAATCTTCTAACGTGAGTATCCATGTTGTGAGATTCAATGGAGAGAGTGGCCATTTGCCCATAGGCTAGTGCCAGCTACAGCTCAACAAAGCTACACTTTTTTTTCAGGTGAGTGTTCCTTTAGCCACATAATCTCCCTAATCAAGATCTTTGATAGGGACTTATTTAGATATTTTTAATTACCTACATGGGCATGTAAGATGCACATAAGAACATAGATATACCACAAAATATTATTTTTCAAAAGAGCCATGTAGTGTTCACCCATTCTATCTTGAGCAGGCATTAAGATGACCATTTGGAGTTCTTTTGCATTCATTTGCATTTACTTAGTGAAAATGATGAGCATTACTTATAGCTTGAGCAGTAAAGGCTAGACAATATATTTCACTTTTTTCATTAAATTATGAGTTGAATCTATTAAAAAAATTAAAAGTCTAAATTTAATATAATCAATCATATTTTTTATTTAACAAATCCTACCATCACTATAAACTCTAATTCTAATGATTATTTATCTACGTATATGAAAAATGCTTTAACAAAAATATGGAAATTAGACTTTATATTCTTCATAATGGTTATAATTTAAAAAATATACACACTGCTTATAATTTTTAAGAAATATGCCCTAAAGTTTATTTTTGACAAAAAAAAAAAAGCTCTCTCTTATGATGTGAAATGATTATTTTTTTTTGAAGGAAATGCAATAGCATTAAAATTAAAAGAAAAACTTACAATCTAATGGATTTTGTCCAATCCAACACATCCCTCCTTTAACAAAGCTACAAACGAAGGAGGAATATCACTACTAGAAATGTCATTCCAAACAAAATTACTAAATAAAGCAAAGTTAGCACAAATGTCATCTAACTTATTACAACTTATATTTGAAAAACTAAAAATAACTTGCTCAAAGTTCTTTAGAAATGAGAATTTACTATCCGACAAATTCTTTGACGTAGCTTTAACATTTGAAAAGAGCTCTAAATGAATTTGATTACGTTAAAGTTGGCCCCTTTGATGATTAAACCTTTAGCTTCTTGCATCCAATTTTGAATTATCCTTTCCAACAATAGGATAGCCATAAGTTCCAGTTGAGCTACATCCCAATGGAGACTCATAATGCCAAATGCCATCAAGAACCTTCTTTTATAATCCCTAAAGACCCGACCAATACCATCTCTATTAGACTTTAAAAGGAAGCATCAATATTCACTTTTATACACTTGGGTGGAGGAGGATGCCAAGAAGCAGAAGCTAAAGGTTTAAAGTGAAATGCTTATTTAAGGTCCTCCCATGAAGCATTGGTTCAAATAATGTTTGAATAATATTGAAACCATATCCTAGCAAGGTTAGAACTATGTGAAAACCTTATTTGAACCTAATTTGAATATAATTTGATTTAGGGTAAAATCATGTTTGAACTAGGTTCAAAAAAGGTTTACATAAATTTTATTTATGATAGATACAATATAAGACCCAACAACTTTAACACAACAGATTACAAGGTTGATACAATATAGTGCAATCATAGTTGATCATATGGTAGATACTACAAAGTGTAATATAATGGCTATAATACAATACACAACTATCACAATAACTACCATATAGTAAATTATAATATAGATACAAAATAGCATGAGCAAATAGCTATAAAATAATAGAGCTCAATCAACTAACTATAACAATCATGAAAAACATTACACCATTACATTACAATTAATAGCATTACTTTGAGAATTATATCAAATCAAAGTAGTTATAATATTCTTATAATAATAGGAAGATTAAAATAAAATAGTTATAAAGATGGAAGGCATTAACCCAACAAGTAACACAGTTATGGTCTCCTACTCCACATCCATTACATATATATTGTGCTACATTCTTCTCCTCTTAAAAGTTATCTATTTTCTTGGTTGGCCACTCTTTAGCTTCTCCAAGTAGGTTAGCACAACTACTCTATTTTATTTATTTGGAACCTCTCATGTGTCCTTATTTTCAATTGGATATATATTTTTAGTATAAATAGCTAATTATGCTTCCTACATATCAAATTTTGAGCATATGCCAGAATAACTACCTCAGTCTTGAGCTACAATCAACACATGTTCATATGGGATACTCATAACATAAAACTTCTTTCATGGATGTCGTTGTTCTTGTAAATCAACATCACCATTAAAATCACGATCAAAGACATGTAATTCAAATTAATTAGTAGGACATATAATCATCCTTTAAGATTTATTCAAAAGCTTCCTTAATACGTCATCATTTTCTTTCATCAAAATAATATTTGTATTTACTTTAATGGTGTGATTATCAAAGAACTATTTCTGTATTTTATGTTTTAAAAACTTTAATAAAGTAGTCATTACATAAGAGCCTGCGCTCTTGGTAGCATTATTGAAGCTCTTTAAGATATTAATTATCATCAAATTATATCAATTTTCATTGAAGAAAGCACAAGTTAGCTTCGTTATCTAAATATGCAGCTATGGCTAAGTTTTTGACATGTATTTTATCAAAGTACTTATAGCACTTAACTTTTTTATAAGTTTTGAAAGTCAATTGATTTGCTCATGACAACTATTGGGTTTAGATAATACGATGATTTTTATTATAATATGATGAGTGAAAGCTCCATGATGCATTTCTAAAAATTAATTAATAAAACAATGAATACATTATTATGTATGTTAAAGACATGCCAAAATTTTCACTGTGACTATTGACTCCCTTTGTTTAGTCATGAAATACATTATTGGCTCATTATTATCAAAGTTAAATACTATAAATGCCATTGGTAAATAAGGGTATTAGTATCTTGTGCCACTACCATAAGCAAAGATGTACATTACCTATAATTTTTGACTAAATTACTTTTTATTAGTTTCTAAAACTTTGTAAATATGATTAATGAGAACTTTAAGAGAAATATTTATTTGTACCCTTAGTCCTTTGTTCTATTTAATAGTTACATGGCTAACTTCTTTTCAATCTCCTCAATATAATATAAAAATTGTAATACTTTGTTTACCTTTAAAGATAATTATTTAGCTATAACTTCACTATCAAAAAGGTGAAGTGCTAAAACTATGTTTGAACAAGTGCTGGATCATGATTTGAATAATATTCGAATAATATTTGAATCATATTAGATCATGATTTAAATAAAGACTGAACACATGTTCTAATAAAATTTGAAAAGTCTTATTGATATTATGTGTAGTTCAATACTAGAGCTTCAATAAAATGGCTTAATTTTGTTGGATCATATGCTACACGCTTGATCAAAATGGCCTAATTCTTTTGAATCATATGCTACATGATATAGATGTTAAGAAAATTTTAGTAATATATGTTGAAGTAACTATTAAACCGAATGAGATTTAGGCTTCGTTTGAGACGATTTTTTTTACTACTTCTTAAAGCAGTTTTTTAGTATAAAAATTAAAATTTTTGTACTAGAAAGCTGTTTTAAGAAGCAGAAAGAAAGCCGTCCTAAACGCAGCCTTAATATTGTGGTTCTCTCACTCTTGTTGAATGTAAAAATCTCAAACAAAATGACAATGAAAGCAATGGAGAAAGCTAAAATATAATGTGGAGCTGCAATGGGGATATAAGGTGAAATTACAATAATGATATAAATATATGAGAATATTTTGATTTAAATAACTTATCTTTTTACAAAATAAAAAGCCTATTTATACAATTATGAGAAATTCTAAAAAAAAATAATAATTATAAGGGCTGTTATGGGATTTATTACACCCGGTTTAAGGACGTAGAGGAACGTCCGGTTGGAGGCAAAATTTCGTCAAAAAACTCGGTATTTGCTTGGTACAACTAGGTATTATTTGATATTAACGAGGAATATCGCTCTTTGAAGACCAATACCGAGTTATACGGTGCTGTACCGAGAAATACCGAGTTGTACCGAGTTTTTCTAGGAAAAACTCGGTACAACTTTTGTATAACTCGGTATTTCTCGGTTTAGCTCGGTATAACTCGGTATTGGGTCTTCAAATGATGGTAATCCTCGTTATTGTTTGGTATTGCTCGGTATTTGCTCGGTACAACTCATTTTTTGATGGAATTTGGGCTCTGATGGAATGTTGCTCTGAGTCCCATAGGAGAACGTAATAATTGTTCCTGTTATGGGGCATGTAAAATAAATCTTCCCAGAAATAAGATAAGCGAAGGGTAGACGGACCATCTTCATTTTTTTTGGTTTCTGCGGTCGCAGACCCTCATCCAGCCTTCCACTATTTTCACCGTTAAAAGCCCAGGTATTATCCCGGCCTCCTCCCAGCGGGCATGCACCAGCATTGCAAACGGCCAGCAGGGCTAGCCATGGAGGTACAGCTCCTGCATTCTACTATCTCTCCAAGCCGCCCCCTATACTTCGTCGCCACCCGCCTGACGCCTCGTCGGCCTGTTTTTGTCCGGTGCTGTCTCTCCTCTGCCGACAACGGAGGCAGGGGTGGAGAAAATAGCGGCACTTACGGCACGCCCCAGGCTGCCCAGCAGAGGAAAGCTTATCCTTTTGATGAGATTGAACCACGGTGGCAGCTCTACTGGGAGGAGAACCGAACTTTCCGCACGCCTGATGAAGTGGATATGTCCAAACCGAAGTGTTACATTCTTGATATGTTCCCTTATCCTAGGTACTAATACTTCTCGTTGAATACTTTAGGGTTGTAGAGGTTGTGAATTGACTATAATCATCAGGCAAGAGGCAGGGATAGAGGACGCTTTTTATATTTTCTTTCTTCGATACTGTTTTCATATTAACTCACGATTAAGTTTGTTATTCTGTCTGGATTTCTGGCAATGGATTGAGATGTGCTTGTTGGAAGTGTTTGAAGATTTTTGCTGTCACTTCTAACTTAATTTTGAGGCGAAACTGAAAATTTTCCGATGTCCTAAATATGAGTATTTCTAGTGAAACCCGTGTGTGATTGGATTGCTTTATTATCTTTGATTTTGGTTTTCAAGATTAGGGAGGCAGGCCTATCTTTCACATTTATGTCTACTTAACCAACTTTATTTGGCAATAATGTGGAGTGCAGTGCATTAGTCGATTCTACCTATCAATATTGAAAGACAACATCATGAGGCCTTTTCTAAGAAACTATCTATAGGGAAAAAGTTCAACTCTTTGGAAGATTGAACTCACATGGAAGATTTTCTTTTATATGTAAAACATTCACCTTTTGCAGCAATAGGAGTAATTTAGAAATACTCCTATTTTTGCAACATTGAAATCAATCACAGAGGCTTAGTAATGCTGTATAATATTGAAATCTATGTTTGACGTGACTCAAAATTCACCAACATGCAAGAAAACAAAGTAATTAAAATATGAATGAGATTGCAGTTATTTCTATATGATGTTTGCAGAAGTGAGATCAAATGTTCAAACAATTGTTTCGGTAACAACTACCAAATTCAATTATTATTCAACTTACAATGCAAATTGAAACTCTTATTGATTGAGAAGATTGATGGGTGAAGAAAAACCTTCTATCATGCTTAATCCTCCACACTGTTGCATTGCTTTTGGAAACTACAACTATTGATTATAAGATTGGAGATGCCTTTTCTACTGCTTCAAGGGCTGTATTTAATTCTCTCGGTTCGATCTTGAAGTCTTGGCATATTGCCATGCAAAACAAGATGATGAATGTTTGCACCAGTTGGTGTGGACCTTCTTGATGTTTTTTCATTTTATTTGTGATTTTTTTGCTTGTAGTGTTGGTGGTTGTCTAATTCATCCCATCATTTGAAGTTGGATTGGAAACTTTGTGTGCATTTCTTGTTTTTAGATGCTTCTCAGTTTCTTTCTTTTTATCCAGTGAACTCTATCAATTGTGTGTAGTCGATCAGGCATTAGAAACTGTCCGGTTATGGTTATGATAGCTTTTTATTTATAGAACTTGTCGACATTACCCTTTGCATATAGATAATCAGGCCTTGAATAATTATTGAGCTATGTGCCCTATCTACTCTAACCCGATATATAGTTGACTGATTGTGAAGTGTGAGTTATATCTCTGATAATGGGGAGGAGGCCCAAGGTCTATTTTTCCCTATACGCAAAGCTGTTCAGAGTGTTTTCTTGTTGAATTAAAATGGGATGACGGAATTGTTCAAATGGGATGACAGAACTATAATAGTTCTCTTGCAATTTGGCAACTATTGGAACGTAGACCTTGTCAACTCTACCCCTTTCATGTTGTGGATCGGGCTTTAGTGGACCATACGTTTTTAAGTATTTATGCCCAATTTTTGTAATTTTGTTAGGAAACACTTGAAGATCTCAAGTGTAACCTAACGATTTTGACAAAAACAGCGAGAAAACTACACAAATCAAATGAAAAATTAGATAAAAATAGGAATTTTATTGCAAGAACACAAACTAACGGAAGAAAATAACAAGATACAATTGATCCTTTATTTGAGAGGAGAATCCATCTCTCCCAAATCTCTAGACGCCGCTAGAGCCCAAAAACCAAAGGGATCTCAAATTTCAGCCAAATTCAAGATGCCCTAACCCAAAAAAAACAAACAATTTAATGCATACAATCCAAAAGAAAATCTTTAAACAGTTCCTACATTCAAATTTTCCTCCCAAATCCCTAAAAAATCTTTCCCAAAAAGCTCCCTTGGATTCTGCGGTCTGATCGACATACTTAGGAGAGGTGAACTTCCGCCTCTATTCCGCCTGGGCTAGTCCCATGTTGACCGGCTGGATCGGTTTAACAATACTCCCATCCCAAAGACCCACCTTGCCCTCAAGGTGGAAGGATGGGATGCTGTTGATAGCTTTCTTTAGCTACTTTATTAGTGACCATGCTATCGTCCACTAGAACCAAGCTAAAGCTTTCCCTTCCAAACATGGGGTCGCTACCGTTTGTCTCTCCGCATCTGTTACCCCATTCACCATGAGATACATCTCCACCCAGTAGACCCACCCATAAGCATCCTCCTCCCTTTCAAATACTAACATCCCCAACTTTCTACCCTAGGATCACTGTCACCCCAATAACTGCTTCGTCCTCCAGTGTGGCGGTTATCGTGATACCTCCATATTTCCCCCATGTATCTTGGGAATCCCACATTCCTTCCTTTCGCCTCACCTGACCTGATCCCCATGGTTCGGCCCATCCCCCTTATTCGGTCGTCCACTTCCCTTTCCTAAGACCTTGCATAGGGGTCAGCCAACCCCTCCACCTTCACCATGAAATGCCCTTCCCCATCCGATAACCCAATTCTGCCCCTTATTGGAACCCTAGGAGGTGGCTCTTCACCCTCTCTTCCGATGAGTGGCTCCCCTTGCCCAAAATGCCTCTCATAGTGGTCGGCCGCCCTACCGTCTCCACCAAAAGATTTATCTTTGTTGTCCCCTCATCTAGAAACCTTGATCCACCCCTTATCGAATTCACAGGAGGTGGCTCTTGATGAAAGAAACTCCCCTCGTCAAACTCTTCTTGTCTATTCTCCTTCCCTTCGATTCGGCCAAGGGAATCCCGGTCAAATGTTGGTTAGGGTTAGCCGTCGGAACCAGTCTTGAAGTTTTTGTTTGCATCTCCAAGAGCTTTCTTAACATCTCCTCCATGATCGAAAAATTTGAATCGAACTTCTCATGGATAACTGAAATATGTTTTTTTAATATGAAATTTGAGTTTGTAGATATGTAATTTTAGATTAAATTTGTCCAATCTTCACTTCGAGACCTTCCTCCAATGCATCCACTTCTTGGCCGCCATTATTATCCGAATTTTTGTAGACTAAAAAAATATGGAATTTGACATTTGAAAATAGCAAATAGCCCATATTCCAGCTGAAAAACAACCGCTGGTTTTCACATAAAAAATCCCAAAACAGTCCCAAAATCTGCTCTGATACCAATTTGTAGAAAACACTTAAAGATCTCAAGTGAAACCAAACGATCTTGAAAAAAACAACGAGAAATCTCCACAATTCCAACGGAAAATCAGATAAAACAGGAATTTTATAATTTTATTAAAAGAACACAAACTAACGGAAGAAAATAGCAAGATACAATTGATCCTCTATTCGAGAGGAGGATCTATCTCTCCCAAATCTCTAACGTCTCTAGAGCCCAAAAACCTAAGGGATCTCAAATTTCAGCCAAATTCAAGATGCCCTAACCATAGGAGAACAAACTATTTAATGCTTACAATTCAAAAGGAAATATCTAAGCAATCCCTACATTCAAATTTCCCTCCCAAATCCCTAAAAAATCTTTCCCAAAAAGTTCCCTTGGATTCTTCGGTCCGATCGACATACACAGGAGGGCGGAACTTCCGTCTTTGTTCTTCCTGGGCCGGTCCCATGTGGACTAGCTGGACCGGTCTAACAAATTTCTTAAAATATTGATATTTATTTAATTTGTTAGAAAATAGGGGGCTGTAAGCTTCGACATAACCTCGGGAAAGATTGGGCTAACTATGGCTCTGGGATTCATCTTGGAATATTTTGAAACTTCCAAATCTTTTTGGCATTTTCTTTGATTTTTCTTTTGAAAGTTATCATATTGATATTTTTCTTTTATGAGGACATTTCACATGTTTTTCCAATGAGATTTTTTTTTAAAAAAATTTTGTTTTCTATATTTTCCATTATTTTTATGCTCTGGAAAATAATAGTTATCTCATTCGACGCTAGGCGACAATTTTTTTGGGGAGGGACACAAATGTAATTAAATACTTGAAATAAGTTCACACATTTTTTAAATGTGGTGAATTTATGCTTCACTTGCATCTAAAAACATGTCTTGTAGGCTTTATGATGTGACTTGCTTGGCATGAAAAATTATCTAATGTCTCGGGCCATTTTGAATTTTTTTTTGGGTTTAAAATTTTATTATTTGTTTGATGATGAAGCTTGCATCAAAATATGAATAAAGATTTTTTTTGTTATCGCACCATTTGCTTGCTTCTTTTTGCAAATTTGCCACTGTTTAACTTCCCATATTGTTGATGAGCACATTGAAAATTCGTGCAATAATAAAATATATAAAATCCTTATGTTGCATGTTTTTCAATGCAATCTTCTCATTCATTTTCTTTTCAAACTTGCATTTTGTTTTGTTTTACCTTTTATTATCTTTTTCATGTCCAAAAATTTGGAGTTTGAGCGATTCGTGGAAGTAGGCCATCCCGCCATGTCATTAAAGGCATTTTGGGTGTAAAGCACGGGGCAAGCTTGGCCAAAACTTCATCCCACCACACTATTTTTTTTGTTTTATTTTTTCTTTTAAATCATCCCACCACACTAATAATGATTCTTTGGGGTATTTTTGTGTGGCCTTTTGTCATGAAATCACCTTACATTTTTTTTAAATTGCTCCCACTATGTTAAAATGATGTAAACAATTTGCATGCAAGATTCTTACTAAAAGTCCATCTTCCATTTTCTACTTCTTGTTGTGAGGTATTTCCAAGTTAGTGAGACAGTAAGCGAGGGAGACGGAGGCAGAGATATGGTAAGGGGGATTGAGCCATTCAACATTTTGTAGAATGAAAGTTTCAATGGAGTGAAATGTGGAGAAGAAGAAAGAAACGTGAGGGAGAAGAGAGGTGTTTGATTTATAAAAGTTGTTTTTCAGCAGGATGTGGGAGAGGGGGACAAAGTGTGAAAATGGTGTTGTTGAAGAATCATCTATTGACAAAGGGGCCACTTCTTATAAGCGCTATTTATTTATTTATTGTTTATAAACATTTAAGTTTATTGTTATAAAGATGTATATGTACATACACACACACATATATATATAACTTTGTATATCTATCAGTTTATTCTTTTTCTTCTTCTTTTTTATGAGGATTTGCGCACATGTTTGCATCAGTTGTGGACCACTTTGAGTTATGGATTTGGATGTTTGGAGTCAATTTCTTGTTAGATTTAAATGAGAATTTGACTCTTAACAGGACCCAATGGAGAAAACAAAATTCATGTAGCCGACCCCATTTAGTGGGTTAAAGGGTTGAAGATGATGATGTTGTTGTTGTTGGAGTCAATTTCTTGTTTGCCTCCATTGTTTTTTCATCTAGTTAGTCACATATGGATGCCATGAACATGCCACGGAATTCCCATTTAAAGGTAATTAATGTCTTAATGAAAAGCATATCAATTCAAATTCCAGTAAAGATTTATTTTAGATATACTGTGGAACATAATGAGACTCTTAGAAAGCATTCTGGAGTGTGGACAGTAATGATTTACTGATTTCCATTGGATCAAAGTAATAACCTTGAATTGGGCACTCTTGTAATTGGATACAAAATATGACGCAGCTATATATATGAAATTTTGATGTTAATTGTGAATTTAAAATTATAAAAAGATGGATACTAAATTGTGCTTTTGCTGCCTGTTTTAGGCCCAGGTCGCGTGAGGAACTTTAATGGATCAAGAAGCCGATATCTAAATATCTGTTAAGATTTTGGGTTTTGTCTTTTCAACGATTTAGGTTGACCACTAAGGAGAAAGCATTGTCAAATGATAGGTTTGAAGCAGGACATCATTTTGTTCCGTTGATAAGCTTGCTACACTGGTGTGGGCTTTGCTGTCTCATTTTGTTTGTTGGCACCGGCTAAAATAATGCACTACTTCAAAATTCAGACTGTTTTACATACTAAGCAATAAGCGCTGCTTAACTAAGCATAAACTTTCTGAAAAAATCTCAGGAAATTCTACAAATTGGCTTTTTTTTTTTTTACTTTCCATGATTTTAATTATTTTGTCTTCATGAAAATTGAAGCATTGCATTGTATGTTGCAGCGGTGCAGGATTACATGTTGGCCACCCCCTTGGCTACACCGCAACAGACATTTTATCGAGATACAAACGCATGAAAGGATTCAATGTTTTACACCCAATGGGATGGGATGCATTTGGCCTTCCAGCTGAACAATACGCCATCGAGGTTTGATAGACATCTGTTAGGTAATTAATTTGTTTTGGCAATCCTTTCACTGTTAAAGTGTAGTTGATGACCAGACAGGGACCCACCCAAAGGTCACAACGATGCATAACATTAGACGGTTTCGATCCCAGGTACTTTGGAGCTCATTTCTTTTCCTGAATTGCATTATATGAGTTTAGATTATTTAATTGCATGCAACCCTACTGGATGATAGCTCTGGATATTCAGTTAGATTATCTTAATGTTTTTATTTTAATTTTATTTTTTGCTTTGAAATTGTATGCCTTTGAGCTTTGACAGAATTTATTGTAGTTTTTTTAGTTGACAAGGGGTAGAATCTATTAAGGATTCTTGCATAAGTTTCATCCATTCTGTGAATCTACTTGTAGATTCACCTTTTTGATTAGTCAAAGCTACTGTTCATGGCATTTCAGTTGTTAGCTTAGTTGAAGCAAGAATTAGGAACCAAAAATGGCCATGACAATGGTCTATTTCTATGAGAAGGATTTTATTTTTTCAATGCATTGATGAGCTCGTAATTTTCTTAACGTCATATGCGTGAGCTTGTTTGACATAGTAGAAGTTTGCTAGAAGTTATGAAGCATTTATCTGTGCAATGCATTGTCCTTATAGCTGAATACTATCGAGCTGCGGTCCTTAGATTTTTATCATCATTTTTATTTTACATGTATTGTATGCTCTTCATGGGTTTTTAGGTTTGCTTGACCATGATAACAAGAGTGGAATTCTTGACCGGACCAAAAGGTGGTGAAATGTTGAAGATGAAGGTATGTTATGGTACCTATAAATTGGACAATTCTCATGGGAAAAAAGGAGAATATTTGAGATTTGAGGTTTGCGGAATGGTTATACGAAAGTAATGGTGGAAGTAGCATCTATGGAACTTAGGTTTTTCAAGATTAGTATCACCACTTTGTGTTTTGTGTTTTTATAAAAAACATTAAGAATGTGATAAATAGAAGCAATCCGTAAGCTAATAGTCGTACGATCAGTATTTAGGGAATAATATACTTCGCGATTATCCATACCAATAAGGAAATCAGAAGAGAATTTAGAAACCAAAGCAAATTTGGATGAATGTAAAGAAACTTCTTGTTGAGTTGTAGTTTCAACATGCATGTTCAACTGTTTAGGTTTCTTATAAATTGTTTTTGATCGGTTCCATTAAAGCTATTAGCGGATCCATGTTGATCTAATGTAGTTTGATTTTTTTTTTCGCACTAATACTTCATTTAATATACTGATTTGTGTGTAGTTAGGAAAATGAATTGTAATAGGAATATCTAATCCAATTCCAGGCCTTTTATTTTTCAAATATATCATCAAGAATATTTGATATTGACATTTTAATAGCGAATGTGCCAAGTTCTTTTGTTGAAGGCAAATGAACTGGCTCAGTAGCGTCTTGTATGACTTTCCGTCAGTGTAAGTTCTGGATTCTTGAATTAAACTAGTGCTTTTAGAATGTATTTCATAAAGTACATCATGAGTAACTAAGACTTAGAAACAAATCATGGTAGTTCTTGCATGGAAGATGAAGCGCCATAACTTCATCATAATGTGTCTTATAGATGGTAGTTAATTTATTTCCTAAAACAATAAAAATCTTTCTGAAATGTGCAAGAAAAGATTAAAAATAAGAAGATTGTTATAAAAATTGGTTTAATTGTAAAAACTATGATAATTGGAAAAGATATAAAGAGGCACGTAAAGAATCTAAGAAAGCAATATGCGATGCAAAGACCTTAACTTTTAATGATTTATATAATAGATTAGATATTAAGGAGGGAGAAAGATATATGTATAAGTTAGCCAAACAAAGAGATAGGAATAGTAAGGATTTAGTTCAAGTGAAATATATTAAGGATGAAGATCAAAAAGTACTTTTTTTAGACGATGATATTCAACAAAGGTGGATGAGATATTTTGCTAAACTTTTTAATGAAGAATGTGAAAATGCGATTGACTGTAGTGACCTTAGCACCCTAAATGAAAATAAAGATTTATGTTTTTATCGGCGTATTAGTAAAACTGAAGTTAGAGAGGCTTTAAATAAAATGAAGGGTGGAAAAGCTGTTGGACCTGATGATGTTTCAATAGAGGTGTGGAAATGCTTAGGAGTGAATGAATTTCTTGACTTAATAAACTTTTAATACTATTTTGAAGACCAAAAAGATGCCAGATGAGTGAATAATGAGTGTGTTAATTTCTATTTTTAAGAGTAAAGGTGATGCACAAGATTGTGCGAATTATGGAGGAATTAAGTTAATGTGCTATACTTTAAAACTATGGGAGCAAGTTATGGAGCATAGATTGCGGCGTGATATTAATGTTTCTCAAAATCAATTTGGATTCATGCCGGGTAGGTCGACTATGGAAGCCTTACATTTATTAAGAGGTTTGGTAGAGAAATATAGAGAAAATAAAGAGGATCCACATGATATTTTATTGATTTAGAAAAACCATATGAAAAAGTTCTAACATAAGTGCTTTGGAAAATTCTTGAAAAGAAAGGAGTTAATAACGCTTATATTCAAATCATTAAATATATATTTATAGGAGTTATTACTTGTGTTCAAACACTAGGTGGTTTGACTAAGTATTTCCCTATTCGGTGGGTTACATCAAGGATCAACCTTAAGCCCATATCTTTTTGCTTTAGTCATGGATGTTTTCACTAGACATTTGCAAGAGGATGTACCTTGGCATATGCTTTTTGCTAATGATATTCTTCTTGTTGATAAGACTAGAGAGGGAGTTGAAGGTAAATTTGAATTATGGAGGTCAACGTTTTAAAAGGCGAAATCGAGAATCGAGGCATTTTGGCTAAGCGAGGCGAGGCGTAAGCCTCGAGGAGGATCGAGGCGTAAGCCTAAAAAATTATAAAAATAAAGCAATTTAAAATTATGAATAATGACAAAAATGTCAAAAAATAACAAAATATTACATCAATTGTGAATTTGACGATTTGTTCTAAGATAACATTAGTATATTATTGGAAAAGAAGATTTAAAATAAACTCACTTAAAAATAAAATATCCCTTTAGGATCAAGACCCAATGCAGGCTCATCATCACTTTGATTTTCTTCAGAAGAATCTTCATAATTAATGTCAAAGTCATCCTCAAACTCTTCTTCA